AAGGTTTATGCACAACTGCAAGTCTCTGGAGGATCCTACACCTTGATGTTCGCAGGGCTCCAGAGGCACCAGCAGCTTCAAATATGCGTTTGCTGCTTTGTTAGCAGCTGCTCTCTTAGTCTGATGCATTTGTCTGGCAGAAACAGTCCTCATTGTGCCTTTATCTGCACGAACCCACTCAGCCACAAATTTCTTACATTATGGTGATCATGCTTAAGTTTTCGTGAAATATCTGAAGTTTTCATTACGTGTCCAAGGCATTCAACCATTTCATGCTTTTCAGCAGCAGAGAGATCATTTTTCCTTCCTATATTGCTTGAAAATGGTGGTCTGCTTAATAATGTGGAACATCCTTCTTTAGTAGTTTTCCTTTAATTGGGCTCACCTGGCAAACTAATGATCACAGGTGTCCAAGATTGATTTCAGTCATCCAAAGAGCCCTGAGACACAATTTCATCCATGGGTTTAATTGAAAAACGATCTTTATGACACTTAAACACAATTTGCATAATAATTTGGAACGCGGTGTAAGTGCGTGTACCTGTTTAGACCTCTTTGTGGGGGCCCAAAATTGACATGTTACTATACTTGTGGGAAGCCACGGTCACTTTATGAAGACAAAAGTGACCATCCCCACAAGTTTGAAGGCATTTTTGAGACTCAAAATGCCGTTTTAGTGTCAGGGTTACAATTAAAAAATGAATGCCTAACCATAACCTATGTTTAGGGTAAGCAGCTAGGGAAAGCATTCTGTCAATTAGATGTCCTCACTAAGATAGCAAAATGATAGCGTGTGTGCGCGTGCACATGTGTTTTAACGTACCAAGATGAGATTTCTCCCAAAACTTCACGAATGATCTAGACAGGAAGACAGAAAAAGAAGTTATTTCCAAATAAAGTCCAATTCATCACCCAGCCCCACCACAGAGCTGGCAGATGTTTACTAGGGGTGCAACAATACTTGGATCGATATTGAACCGTTCAATACAGTGCTTTCGGTTCAGTACGCATATGTATCGAACAATATAAAATGTTTTATTTTATCAACTTTTCTTCTTACGATGCTGTCTGTGTTGAGCGCTCAGTGGATCTGCGTTCGACTACTCTGCCTAGGCTGCACTGTCGAGTGCAGATCCACTAGCACAGCGCAAGCTAGCAAGACAGAAGCTAAGCTTGTTGCAACATGGCACCTGCCTCAACGCTACCCGAAACTGAACCTCCCCCACCCTCATTCAGA